GTCCAAGGGCCGTGCGTCCCGAGAAACTCCGTGCCGCTTGCCGAAGGGCTTCGATGCTCAAGGGAGGCATGCGTGGGCCAGCCTGACATAGGCCGCGCATTTCGACGATGAGGTCACCATCGCCATCGTCATGAACGCTCTGGGTGAGGAGGGGGGGGGGGGTTCGCCGTCACATCCTTCCCACACGCCCTTCCAAGACTGTCGCTGGACCAGACATATGTCCTCAGAGGTGCTGGATGGTCCCAAGGCTGTGTCAATCTGTGAAATCGTCCAACCACGGGGTTTCGACCAACGGTGTATGGGTCCTGATCGCTGCCTCAAGTGCTGTCGGATCCATGTTGTGAAAGGGCGAGCCCTAGCCGTAGCCATCCTTCTGTCGATGACTACAGTCCGTCCGAGGTAGGACGACGCTAGCCCGAGCAAATGGTGCTGCAGGGTAGGCTGCTGGGCGGCTGTGTGTAGTAGATACGTAAGTACAGCTGTGACGGGAGGGGGGATGTGCTTCCTCATCCTGCCTTCCTTACCTTCTTGAGCGAGGAAGGAGTAGAGGTGTGCCCATGCCTGCGCGACCTGGTGAGGTCGTCTCACCTGGGCCAGCTGAACATCGCTGACGCTCAACTGCAGTAGGCGTAGGGCACGGGCCTCAGCGGACGCAGCTGGCTGGTGCCTCGCCAGGGCTCCCCCTGCCGTGGTGCGCTTGTACCTCGGCGCAGCTCCTCGCCCTGTGCGCCTTAAATCATTGGGCGGCAAGCTAAATAATGGGGGCAACTCCGCCTCCACTCCACGATGCAAGTGTGTGCATATGTTGTCCAAACGCGTGGGGTGGTCGTCACAAGGACCTAACCGATGTTGAGATTCGCCCCTCATGAGTTCCACCCGAGATAGCCCAGGGTCCCCACGCAAGACAGTGTACTGTGGTTCGCCATCGACATCCTCCAAGTCCTTACGCAGGGATGCCGTGGGTTGGTGTTGGAAAGGCTTGGGTCCTCGGAGCACTCGAATAGTTTGTGCGCGAGCCTGTGGTCCCAGGGGGGCCTCCGCAACGTAGTGATTGCGCGGCGGAAGCTGCGATGCCCGCAAGGGCTGGGATAACGCGCTGGCCAGGCAATCGCTGAGTACGAAATAGTCCAAATCCGAGACATCCCCCGTGGCAGGATCCCGGTATGCACCGTTGGGCGTACCCACAACGCGGGCCCGAAGTCGCATGGGCCACTCAGAGCCGTCGAGCATGGCAGGGGGCATGTTCCAATCTCCACCCAAGAGAAAAGGGGGCCCGTAGTGTGGCAGCAGGGCCCCGAGGTCTTTTAGGATCTGTGCATTGCGTCCTGCCAGGCGAAGCCCTTGTTCGAGATGCGCGGATGCAGCGACAAAGCCATGCCTCAGGCCGCCCTGGATCACGATCGCAACCACGTGTGCTGGCACGAGTACGTGACTGCTGACACATGCGGCGAGTACAGTTGCGCCAATATGCTTGCGTACAAAGATGCCGACTCCCCCACAAGGGCCGCCATCTGGGCCTGTTACAGCTTCTGTAAGGAATGATTTCCAGCCATTGTTGATGGACCACTCCTGGGCGCGCTTGGCCTGGTCGTTTCTCAGCTTCAACTCCTGCGCGAAGACGAGGTGCGCGCCGTTGCAGTTGGCCAGGTAGTCCTGAACCTGCGGCCAACCACTGCCGTTGAAGGTGGCTACCTTGAAGTCCCTCCTGCGAGCGCCCCGAGGTGCGCGACGTGGTCTCGCGGATGCCGAGGTCGGCGGCGCCGTCGACTGTAGGGCCGTAATACTATTGATCCCGCCATTGGACTGTATCGAACCAGATCGTGAGCCGTCGTGAACGCCGCTGTGGTGGCCCGTATGCTGAGAGCACCCTGCTGCGACACTAGTGACACACCCAGGGGCATCGACCGCCCCTTCGTCAAGGGCCCTAGGCGTGACTCGAGCGAGCGTGGGAGACTCACACAGCTTCAGCCCCAAGGGGGAAGCCGCCTGACCGTCGGCAGCCACGCTCGTCGGAGTTGGCCCCGCAGCAACATGCCTCGCATCCTAGTGAGTGTCGTTGTGACGGGCCACGGCCTGAGAGCACCCTGCTGCGACACTAGTGACGCGCCCAGGGGCATCGACCACCCCTTCGTCAAGGGCCCTGGGCGTGACTCGAGCGAGCGTGGGGGAAACCCCACACAGCTTCACCCTCGAGAGGGAAGCCGCCTGCCCGTCGGCAGCCACGCTCGTCGGAGTTAGCCCCGCAGCAACATGCCTCGCGCCGTAGTGAATGTCGCTGTGATGGCCCACATCCTGAGTACACCCTGCTGCGACACTAGTGACACTCCCAGGGGCGTCGACCGCCCCTTCGTCAAGGGCCCTGGGGGTGACTCGAGCAAGCGTGGGGGAAACCTCGCACGGCTTCAACCTCGAGAGGGCAACCGCCTGCCCGTCGGCAGCCACGCTCGTCGGATTTAGCCCCGCAGCAACATGTCTCATGGACGGATGCGTGCCCGAGGTAGGGGCGTGGCTCCCCTGATCGACCTCGCTGTTACTCGATCTCACCGCCACGTATCTCGAGTCTCGCACGCGTCGTTCAACAACAAGACGTCGCATAGGGATGAGGGGGACCTCTGCCGCCTTTGCAGTACTGCATCGAACTTGTATGAGTGCTGCGGCATCGTCAGGGGCAGGAGGGTGCACGTCATCCTCGGTATCGGGGAAAGGTGGGTGCTCCAGGTCTTGCGGTGGTGGAGGCCCTTCTGGCGCGGCCATTGCCGATGAAACCAATGTGCTGCCACCTGCCAGTAAGGTGCGCTGGTGTAGGATATTGACCATCGAGGCTCCGAAGGCGCGGTGGGCTTCGATGAGCCTTGTGCCTGCATGCACTCCCTCCTGTTCTTCCATGTACTGGGCCTGGGCCAGCAGGAGTCGTGCCCCTCGCAGCTGTAGGAGGAGTTGTCTCGCCTCAGCATACCAAGAGTCAGGTCGCCAAGTGCGTGGCGAGGGCCAACAATACATGTGCATCGTGGTCAGCAGCGTCGCGCCAGGCGGTCCCGCAGTAGGCGACGGCCATGTCGTATATGGCGGCCTCAGATGGCGCCATCTCCCGACGCTGAGGTACAAGCCTGATCATGAGCTCGGCGTATGGTACACACCACCAAGTCCAGTCCTCGTGCGCCATGGTCACATCTTGCCAAGATACCGTGTCCGCACTCCACCGCCCGGCGTAGGCGTTGAGATGCGCACGGGAAATCTGAGATGCGTCCGTCGGATGATGTAGGAGGAAAGTGTCCACGAGCGAGTGCCGCTGCAAGCCGTGATAATCGACGGGGTCGCCATCCGCCTGAACAGCCAAAACTGCAGGGTCCTCGCTCGGGGCCATTCGCATATGTGAGGGCGTAGACATAGACTCCAAAGGTCCATTGCCAAGGCCATTCAAGTAGGAGCTGACCGCCATCAGATCACGTACCTGGTGTGCTGGCAGGCTGGCCACGAGCATCTCCGTGTGCGTCGGTGCCTTCCAAATCTTGATCGATGGCTGCGTCCCAAGAGTGGGCGCCGCCTGAGTGCATACTGCCAGGAGTACGAGGCATGACAACTTCCATGGGCGCACCGAGCACTGGGGCAGCATCATGAGGCTCTGCGTGCGGCTCTGCGCCTGAGCCACCAGGGACGACGGCGCGCCGATGTAATACAAAGGCGCGGAGAGCTCCACAAGTTGCGTGCTGAGCGACTGGAGGAGCATGTATGGGTTGCCAGCGGCCATGGCGCGTGGTGCCGCGGCGACCACACCTTGCAGACGACCCATGGCCTCCTCCAGGCTGCCGACCGTTGAGTCGCCAGGTGAGGTTGCCATGATGGCTGCACGCGCCGTGGCGAAATCTGCTTGAATGGCGGCCAACTCCGCGGCGGCAGTCGTGAGCTCCATCTGCTTCGCTGTGAGCTGTTCCTGCAGCGTGTCGACCTGCGTCTTGAGGTCGTTGTGCTCACGAAGCTTAGAAGCTTGGCAGTCCAAAGCACGGCGAAGCATGTCATCAGGGGTCCGAGCAGCACGTTCTCGTTCTTCTGCGCCTGCCAGCTGCTTTTTGGCTGAGAGCACCACCTCGGAATCCTCAGGAAGCTGCAGACGGCGCAGAGCGGCAAGGGCCTTACGTGCACGGGCAACGTCATCGTGCTCACCTTGACCTCCTGTGGAAGTGCTCTCGGCGTCCTGGGGCGGGACGCTGCTGGGGGCCCCGCGCGACTGCCTGCTGCCCGACTGGGCGCGCCGCTTGGCACCAGGCGGTTCGGCGCCAGACGGATCAGGTCGCCCGAGCTTGTCCCTGCCGCACATGTAGCAGCGCTCGTTCTGCTGAAAGTTTGTGCGAAACCCGCACTGGCGGCTAGCAGCACAAACCCATGTGCCAGCAGGCGCGCCAGGGCCCGTTGTGCTACGGCCCTCCTGGGGACCACGGCTGCGGCCGCGCCCTGCTTTACCCATGGCAGGGGGCCTGGAACCGTGGTGCCGCGTGAGAGCGTCGTGGTCGGCAGCGAGCCGCAAGCGGCGGCGTGCCGATGCACGGATGCGTGTGAGACGTCGGTGCCAGGCTGGAGAGCGAGACCGCGATGGGCCGCCCTCCGTGGCGAGAGGGGGGGGGTTGGCCTTTGGGCTGCGCGCCAGGGCCACTGCTGGGTGCGGCCGCCTCGCGAGCACAGGCTCGCGGCAGCCACGTCGCGCCAGGCAGCGCCTGGGGCTGGGGGCTCCCTATTGCACGGGCCCCGCGCCCCCCGCGGGCAAAACGGCTGCGGGGGGAGAGGGGGGGGGCCACGCAGGGAGCCACCTGGAGGAGGAGGAGGAGGAGGAGGAGGAGGAGGAGGAGGAGGAGGAGGAGGAGGAGGAGGAGGAGGGAGGAGGGAGGGAGGGAGGAGGGAGGGAGGAGGGGGGAGAGGGAGGAGGAGGAGGAGGGGAGGAGGGAGGAGGAGAGGGAGGAGGAAGGAGGGAGGAAAACGGGGGGAGCCGACGACGCTGAGCTGGCGACCAAGGTGCCCTCCAGCTCGGCCAGCCGCGTCCTTCTCTCAATCTGGCTCCTGGGGACGCAGTCGTCGTCGTCGTCGTCGTCGTCGTCGTCGTCGTCGTCGTCGTCGTCGGCGGCATCACCGGCGGCGGCGGCCGGCGGCGTTCCTGGGACCTCTCCAGGGGTGCGTACCGGCCAGACCCTCGGGGGCGGATCTGGGCGAGGCAGCGGAAGCGCCCTGGGAGGCCCGAAACGGTCCAGAGGCATGAACAGAGCTCATCGCCGTCGTCGTCCTTGCTTTCGTCATCGTATAGTCGTCGTCCTCCTCCTCCTCCTCCTCCTCCTTCTCGCTGCCGTCGGCGGCGTGGGCCCCGCGCGGGGGTGGCAGGTGGCGGCCCGAGGGCTCCATCAGATTTGCGGGGCCGCCTCGCCCCACGCCGTGGCGCCCCCAAGAGAAAGAACACCTCGGGGCGGCCGCGCCATCGCTCGGACGTCCATTCCCTGTGTTTTTTTCGGTTTCGTGCGTGGTTTTTCGCCAAATGATGAAGGATGCTCCTCGATGGTTCTCGGCGAGGAACAAATGCACACGTCCGAGCGATGCCAGGCGGCCGGCTCCGCTCCTTGTTTTCTGCCTCCAGGGCCCCCGCTCCAGGTTCCACGGGGCCTCCGAGCAGAAGCGCGTCCGCGACGGAGAGTCTGCCGCGGGGAAGGGGTCGAGGGGCCAAGGGTGGCCAGCGCATCGAGGGGCCGTGCTTTCGAGCGCCACAGCTGCTTGCGAGTGAGATGGAAGGGATGGAAGGCCTCGCGCAAGTCTGTTCTGGCGAAGACGAACGCCCGAAGCGTTCGAAACATATGCGTAGGACACGGATGACGCGAAAGCAGCCGAGTGCGGCGGAGAACGGTCACGCGCGCACGCTTGTCCCGAACTCAAGAAGCACGGAGACACTCGTGCGGACACGAGGACAGGCTGGTTGGGCTCGGGAGCCCTGGCCCACCAGGATGGGCATAGGGCATACGCACAACGATACTGACCGATGGCGACGTCGCGACGTCCACGACGGCGACGTCTGCGACGATGATGGCGACGTCGGCGACGACGACAACGACGGCAGCGACGATGACGGCAACGGCGACGACGCGGCGGCGACGTCGTCGTTGAAGTCGGCGACGAAGATGACGACGTGATTAGGCTCGTCGACGCCGTCGTCGGTGAAATCGGACCCAAACACCATACTCCGCGCCCCCAGAAATCTCGACCCTTTCCCCAGGGGTAACCTTCCATGCTGGGTCCATTCTAGATGACTCGGGGGCCCAACGACGGCCCCTGAGGGCCTGAAATCAAGAAAGACGCCAGGATTGGACAAACCATATGGCCAGAGATTTGGCTTTCAGGCCATAACTCGGGCCTCCAGCGGCCGTTTTGAACGATTCTGGCACTCCTGGAGAACTTACGGCGAGGCGCAGCTGCTGAACCGCATCCCGGAGCTGGAAAATCTCCCGGCGAGAACACCCGAAAACCTCGAACCCTCAATCGGAGATCTGGAAAGCCGTCGTCGGCGACGGCGTCGCGCCGCGGCCGGAGCACGCGCATGCGCGCGCCTGGGCGCGCTGCCCTTCGGCTGCGGCACTTGGCCGCCCCCGTTGAGGCACCCGCCCGGGCAGGCCTCTGGCGGGGAAGGCGGCGGGGCCTCCTGCTCCCCTCCTGCTCCTGCTCCTCCTCCTGTCCTCTCTCCTTCTGTCCTCCCTGCTCCTCGCATCCCCCATCTCGTCCTCCTCCTCCTCCTCCTCCTCGTCCTCCTCCTCCTCCTCCTCTCCTCCTCCTCCTCCTCCTCCTCCTCCTCTCTCCTCCTCCTCTCCTCCTGCTCCTCCTCCTCCTTCTCCTCCTGCTCCTCCTCCTCTCCTTCTCCTCCTTCCTCCTCCTCCTCCTCCCTCTCCGCTTCCCCCTCCTGTCCTCTTCCGCCTCCTCCTCCTCCTCTCCTCCTCCCCCCTCCTGTCCTCTTCGGTCGGTCGGTCGGTCGTCAGGGAACGAGTCTGAGTCCCAGTCGAAGCTACGAAAAAATTATCCCGGCAAAGCAACCTACAGCGATGTGTAGAGCATATCTGAAGCATTCCCCTTAAGATTCAGATGAAAATCCAGTTGTAGAATTCTGCTGTTCTCGCAGTCGTAGTCGCATTCGCGATGACAGTCGCAGCGGCAACGGCAGTCGCAGTCACAGACTCAGCCTCAGCCTGCATCAGCCTCAGCCTCAGCCTCAACCTCAGCCAGCCTCAGCCTCAGCCTCAGCCTGCTTCAGCCTCAGCCTCAGTCTGCCTTCAGCCTCGGCCTCAGCCTGCCTCAGCCTCAGCCTGCATCAGCCTCAGCCTCAGCCTCAGCCTGCCTCAGCATCATCCTGCTTCAGCCTCAGCCTCAGCCTGTCTCAGCCTCAGCCTCAGTCTGCTTCAGCCTCAGCCTCCTCCTCCTCCTCCTCCTCCTCGTCGTCCCCCTCCTCGTCCTCCTCGTCCTCCTCCTCCTCCTCGTCCTCCTCCTGGTGCTCTCCCCCCCCCTCCTCCTCCTCGTCCTCCTCCTCCTCCTCCTCCTCGTCCTCCTCCTCTTCCTCCTCCTCCTCCTCCTCCTCCTCCTCCTCCTCCTGGTAGTCCTCCCCCTCCCCTCCTCCTCCTCCTCCTCCTCCTCTTCCTGGTCGTCCTCGTTCTCGTCCTCCTCGTCTTGCTCGTCCTCCTCCTCCTGGTGTTCTCTCCTCCTCCTCCTCCTCCTCCTCCTCCTCCTCCTCCTCCTCCTCCTGGTGGTCCTCGTTCTCCTCCTCCTGGTACTCTCCCCCCCCTCCTCCTCCTCCTCCTCCTCGTCCTCGTCCTCCTCCTCCTCCTCCTCCTCTTCCTCCTCCTCCTCCTCCTCCTCCTCCTCCTCCTCCTCCTCCTCCTCCTGGTACTCCTCCCCCTCCCCTCCTCCTCCTCCTCCTCCTCCTCTTCCTGGTCGTCCTCCTCCTCCTGGTCGTCCACCTCCTCCTGCTCGTCCTCCTCCTCCTCCTGCTCGTCCTTCTTCTCCTGCTCCTCCTGCTCCTCGTCCTGCTCCTGCTCGTCCTCGTCCTCCTGTCTTGCTCGTCCTCCTCCTCGTCGTGCTCTTGCCCCTGCTGAAAATGTGGCCCAGGAATGGGAGTTCTGGGAACCGAAAATCCGAAAAAGCACGAAAACAAGTTTCCTACCAAAAAAAAAAAAAAAACCAAATAAAAAAATAGCAAACACAAAACACAAAACAAAAAACCAAACAAACCACAACAAAAAAAAAAACAGAAAAAAGCCACGCCTACAGTTGCCCGGGCATTCAAAATGTGCCCGGGAATGGAGTTCTGGGAAGTCGAAGACACGAAGTGCCTACAGTTGGCTCCGGGCATTCAAAATGTGGCCCGGGAATGGAGTTCTGGGAACTCGAAGAGCACGAAGTGGCCTACAGTTGGCTCCGGGCATTCAAAATGTGGCCCGGGAATGGAGTTCTGGGAACTCGAAGAGCACGAAGTGGCCTACAGTTGGCTCCGGGCATCCAAAATGTGGCCCGGGAATGGAGTTCTGGGACTCGAAGACCACGAAGTGGCCTACAGTTGGCTCCGGGCATTCAGAATGTGGCCCGGGAGTGGAGTTCTGGGAGGTCGAAGAGCACGAAGTGTGTGACTGTTTGCTTAAAACGACTTCTGCGGCACCCTGTCCGGCACCCGCCCAGACCCCCCTGTGGAGTCATCTGCTGCTCTCTTTTGAGACCACTAGAAACCTATCAGTCTTCGCTGTTAGGTAAAAACGGGCGGCGGCAGAGAGAAATGACGAACCCGCAGCGATCGCGGCAGCGAGCAGACCTCGCGGGTGAATCAATGAATCCCTCCCGATGGCCATAGCGCAATTCCACAGTCACGCACTTCCTGCTTAAAATCCCAACTCCCGACCTGGGTGGCAGAGCGTCCCGGGGGAGCACTCCAACATCGTAGGTGCACTCGAAGGGGTGCCAAAACACACGCTACATACGTCCGCTGGCAGGCTGGCCGTTCGTCAAGTTACTGAACATACCGGATCGAAAAACATACCTTCACTTGATGATGGGAAGCATAGAAAGGATCCAGGGGAACAAAGACTGGTGAAAACTCTTCCCCAAGATCAAGCGGCGGGTGCCCAAGATTGGTCCTAAACTGTGATTGGATGGCGACATACAAGGTCTGAACCAAACAACGCCATCTCCGAGTAATACGTTGTGGCAAATGCCGAGGTTTATTTTTGAGTCGTCACGGCCCTGTAGTAGCACTTGAACATGTCCCCTTTGCTGGCGCCTTCCGTGATGTGGCAACTCACTGACAATATGCTCCATCATGGGGATCTGGATCGCCAGCGAAGACGTCGGTTTTTTGGGCTGTTGGTCACTCCTGTGAAATTTCACCCCCGTCAGACGGGCAAATTTGATCATCGCGGGAAGAGGCCAGCTGCTGGGCGCATTGGGTATATGCTCGGCAAGGGCTGGGTGTTCCATCGCTGCTGAAGTCGAAGCTTCTGGGCAGCAGCTAGAAACGGAACTCGATGGTAGTGCGCAGTCGCGAGCTGCCAACACATACCTGCAGTCTTTTCTTGGCGGTGATAAGCTTTTACCTCCAAAGCTCAGAGAGCGACCTGAGGAGGGCGGGGATGGGAGCAGACAGCACCAGGAGGGGCAAGATTCAGGTCTCGCAGAAGCCCTGCAATACCCCCCGCCACCTAACCGTCGAACATTCACTGCAACCAGAACTCGACAGTGGAAACATCCGATACATCCCCGCACGTCGGGCGGTTGGCAATGCCAATAGAAAACGCGACCACACCAAGGTTTTTTAGGTCGGGCATGTCCTCCTACAGGCGCGCTTTGAAGGACAAACATAAGACAGTCAACAATTACTCAAACCTGGCCAACAAACTAATAGCCTGGCATCGTCCCCAGAGTGGAGGAGGACGCAAGTGTGTGTGTGTGTGTGTGTGTGTGTGTGTGTGTGTGTGTGTGTGTGTGTGTGTGTGTGTGTGTGTGTGTGTGTGTTGTGTGTGTGTGTGGGGGGGGGGGACCGCTGGTGGTGGTCGGCGGGGCCACAACAGGTTCTGCATCTCATCCTCCTCCTCCTACCTCCTTCCTCCTCCTCCTCCCTCCTCCTCATCCTCACGTCCTCCTCCTCCTCCTCTCCTCTCTTCTTCTCCTCTCCTCCTCCTCCTCCCTCCTCCTCCTCTCCTCCTCCTCCTCCTCCCCTCCTCTCTCCTCCCTCTCCTCCTCCTCCTCTCCCCCTTCCCTCCTCCTCCTCCTCCTCCTCCTGCTCCTCCTCTTCTTCCTTCTCCTCCTCCTCCCACTCTTTCTTCCCCCTTATTCTTCCCATCCTCCTCCTCCTCCAACTCCTCCTCCTCCTCCTCCTCCTCCCCCTCTATGTTATGGTATGGTATGGTATGCTATGTTGTGTTATGCTATGCCATGTTACGGTATAGCATGGTATGCCGTGCTGTGTTATGGTGTGTCATGCTATGTTATGCTATGACAGGAAGTGTCCAATTGTGATATGGTATGCCTGTTATACCACGAAGTGGTATGCAATGGTTTGTTTTGCGATAGGCTGCTCTGGTATGACAAACCATGATATGTTATGTTATGGCATGTGATGCTGCGATGCTGCTGCTGATGATGCTGTTGATTACGATTATGATTATGACTATGATTATGATTATGATGATGATGCTGCTACTGCTGCTGCTGCTGCTGCTGATGATGATGATGATGGTGATGATGCTGATGCTGCTGCTGATGATGATGGCGGAGCAAACTTTGAGGATGTCTCGAGCAAGGCGCGGGTTTCAGCACCCCCACGGGGAAGCCGCCAAGGGGTATTGCACTCCTCCGTTCACGCCAAAATGGCAGGGATGTCTCGAATGGCTTGTCTGTTGTGGTGCCCGACATCCTCCGCTTTTGGAGCAGATTTAGAGGATGTTTCGAGCGGTTTGCTTGTTTCGGTTGCCAGACTCGTGGGCACGGATCCTCCCCAGGATGCCACAGGAGGCTCCAGCAGACTCCAGGAGGCCCCAGGAGGCAGTAACAGGAAGTCCCAGGAGGCATCAGGAGGCTGGCTATAGGAAGACCCACGAGGCCACAGGATGCCCCAAGAGGCCCCAAGAGGCCCCAGGAAGCTCCTGAAGGCCTCAGGAGGCTCCAGGAGGCTCCAGGAGGCCACAGGAGGCCACATAAAGCGCCAGGAGGCACCAGGAGGCCCCAGAAGGCACCAGGAGGCTCCAGGAGGCCCCAGGAGCAGGAGGCTCTCCTGTGGCTCCAATCCGAAGTGTTTTGTGTCTGTTCCTATAGATTGGGCCTCTCCTGGGGCACGAATCCTCCCCAGGAGGCTCCCGAAGGCCCCAGGAGGCCACACGAGGCTCCAGGAGGCCTTAGGAGGCGACAGGAAGCCCCAAGAGGCCCCAGGAGGCCCCCAGAGGCTCCAGGAGGCATCAGGAAGCTCCAAGAGGTTTCAAGGGGCCCCAGGAGGCCCCAAGCTCATGCGCAAAGGCGCACTAATACAACTGAGACTCATTCACACTCAAATCCATTCACGATTAGATTCGCTACCAGACCGTCAATACTCAAGCCTGTCTATATTCGAAAACTCTTGCGCCTGGACACTCACGGCGGACAGGTCCATGCTAATAGATGCACATATGGGGAGCTCCACGCAGTGTATCATTTGGATCATTCTTGAATATTCCTCCTGTAGAGGGACAACTGCGCGTGGCCGATTATGGGCGAGGGAATAAAGCATGAGGTGGCGGAGGGCGAGCGGTTTGCGCTCCCTGCAGGCGCGCACCATGATCTCGACGAAGTGCCCGCACTGGCTGCCGAGCTCCGCGCTGGCCCGCTGGACACGGCGGATCACCTCGCCCCAAGCCCCCGGGCAGAGGAGCGAAAGCCTGCATGACCACAAACTTTTGGAGGTCTGCGCCCATTCCTTGGATCGGCGCTGGACCCCCATCACTGGCGCGCGGAGCGCGCCAGTGATGGGGGTCCAGGGCCCAGCGCAGATCAGCGCCAGGGGGTCCAGGGCCCAGCGCAGATCCAAGGAATCTGCGCGGAGCTCCGAGGCTTTACGTTGATGCAGTTTGTGTTCCATTGCTCCTAGAACTTTTCTGGCCTCGGGATGGTTGCGAGCAACTGCGCCTCTCCAAGAACGCTCTCGGGGTGCCCGGATCGTCCTGAACGGCCACCGCAGGTCCGAGTCATGGCGCGGACGCCGGATACGCCAGATCCCGGGGGCTAAGAGACCCCACGGACACTGGCGCAAAACGCGCGTGAGCAACGAAGAAGAAGGGGTCTTGCGCGAGGTGGCATCTCGGGGCGGACGAGAGGGGGTAGGAAGAGGAGGATGAGGGAGGACGGGGGGGCATGGATGCGACGGAGGAGGAGGGATACTGGAGGAGGAAGGGCATGGCAAAAAAGGAGGCCAAGTACAGAATCGGCTGAATGCAGGTGGCGTTCCCGGCGCCGCTTGCGCCCGTGTAATCCACAGACGCGCCCAACGGCGGGGGGCCGAACCCACCAACTGCATACGGCAGCTCCCGTGTTTCCGCCACTTCCTCTCGCCCGACCTGAGCAGCGGGAGCGAGGGAACTGCTGGCAACTCGTGGGAACCTCCCGTGCTATCTTGCTGGCGCTTGCTGGCTCTTGCGAGTCGAGGCTGGCCGACGCTCGACGCGCCGAGTCGACGCCACACTGGCGCTGTCTGATCGGCTGCCAGACGCTGGCGCACGCCACTGCGTTCCAGAGACTGAATTGCGAGGACAGGCGCGGCTCCCACGAGTTGCTGCCGAAGAAACCCCCTTGCGCAGACCGCGCGCGAGCGAGGAGGAAAGGCACCACAGGCCGCCTGCGCGGCACTGCGTCAGGAGGGCGCTCTCGCACGTCCGCACGAGGGCGACTCGCGCGCCGAGGTCGGCACAGTTGTGCTCATCACTTCGTCGCTCACGCCAGCATCAGCCCCGCTGATCGTTTTTTCCCCATATCCAAAGTGGGTTTCTTGTTTTCTCTGCACACGCCGCGCAGGATCTCACACCCCCTTTCCTCTCTCTCTCTCTCTCACTCACCATCATCGCCATCATCATCACCATCAACCACCATCATCGTCATCACACGCACACACTCATCATCATTACCATCATCATCACCATCAACCACCATCACCATCATCACTAGTCATCATCATCATCCTCATCATCATCGTCACCATGATCACCACTCGATCACCCACTCACTCACTCAATTACTCACTCATCCCAAGTAGGCTTCGGAGGCAATGGTCTTCCGACGGTAGGACCGCCGCCACTCTCAACATCATCGTCACCATCTCCATCATAATCTCTCGATAACCCACTCAGTGGCCATCATCATCATCATCATCATCATCATCATCATCATCATCGTCACCATCTCCATCATAATCTCTCGATAACCCACTCAGTGGCCATCATCATCATCATCAGCAGCATCCTCATCCTCATCCTCATCCTCATCCTCATCATTCATCATCATCCCTCATTCATCACACACTCATCATCATCATTCGCTCACTCATCATTTCGCCATCAGGCGGGAGCCTCGTCTCTGATTTGCGAGGAAGTCTCAGGCGGGAGCCCCTTCCCTATGGGGCCCGCAAATTATGTTACTGATCCGACGGGTCATCGGAACCTTGTAACTGTCGTCATTTTTGGTCTCCTGAGGCCTGGATATGCAAGAAGTATCAGGCGGGAGCCTCGTCTCTGAGTGAATTGCGTGGAAGTCTCAGACGGGAACCCCCTCCCTATGGGGCCCGCAGATCATGTTACCAATCCGAACGGGTCATCGGAACCTTGTAACTGTCGTCACTTTTGGGCTCTTTAGGCCTGGATATGGAGGAAGTATCCGGCGGGAGCCTCGTCTCTGAGTGAATTGCGAGGAAATCTCAAGCTGGAGCCCCCTCCTTATGGGGCCCGCCGATCATGTTTCTAATCCGAGCGGGTCATCGATACCCTGTAATTGTCGTCACCTTTGTGCTCTTGAGACTTGAATCTGAAGGAAGTCTCGAGCGGGAGCCTCGTCTGTGAGTGAATCGCGAAGAAGTCTCAGGCGGGAGCCCCCTCCGTATGGGGCCCGCAGATCATGTTACTAATCCGAGCGGGTCATCGGAACCCTGTAACTGTCGTCACTTTTGGACCTCTGAAGCTTGAACATGCAGGAAATATCGGGCGGGAGCCTCGTCTGTGAGTGAATTGCGAAGGGCCTCAGGCGGGAGCCCCCTCCCTATGGGGCCCGCAGATCATGTTACTAATCCGAACGAGTCATCGGAACCCTGTAACTGTCGTCACTTTTGGGCTCTTGAGGCTTGAATATGGAGGAAGTATCAGGCGGGAACCTCGTCTCTGAGTGAATTGCGAGGACGTCTCAAGCTGGAACGCCCTCCTTTTGTGGCCCGCCGATCATGTAACTAATCCGAACGGGTCATCGGAACCTTGTAACTGTCGTCACTTTTGGGCTCTTGAGGCTTGAATCTGAAGGAAATCTCGAGCGGGAGCTTCGTCTGTGAGTCAATTCCGAGGAAGTCTCAGGTGGGAGCCCCCTCCCTACGGGGCACGCACTTCATGTTCGAACCCGAGCGGGTCATCCGAGCGAGCTTTTTGGGCTCCTCAGCTCCTGCGGCGTGAACACGGGGGAACTATCAAGGGGGAACTTTGCCTGTGGGCGGTGCGGGTAGCCCCGTCAGAGGACCGTTTCCTGTCGTCACTTGGAAGTCTGAGGACGGATTTTAGAGCTCGCTCCTGCGGCCTGAATACCGGGGAGTTGCCAAGCGGGAGTCTCGTCTGTCTGAACTGGTCGCGGGCAAAATTGTTGTTGTCATGGGCCTGCGTCCCCCTCGTTTTCCTGCAGGCCGTAGACGAGTGCGGCACGATTCAAGGCGACCCAGACGCATGCCGCCGCCTCCTGAACGTCCCGAACATGCACAAGACGGGAGACATCCACGGCGTCTTACCGGCACACGTCGGCATGGAGGTCCGGTTCACGGCCGTGCAGGAGGAGCTGAAGAAGAAGTTGGGGTTCGTGCAGGAGCAACGGGCCACCATCGTGTCCTTCGAGTTTCACGCAGACGACGAGCGGGACTACGAGGAGTGCGCGCCGGGCCAGCTCTTCCGCCACCGCTTCCTGCCGCAGGGAATCTGGCTGCAGGTGCACGGTTTCCAGGAGTCCCCGATCTACAAGGAGGTCGCCGAGGTGCTGCTGCAGGGCGCCGATGGCGCTGCCGACGACGGCGAGGCCGAAACGCGGGCGAGGAGCTTGCTCATGTTCAGGCCCAGCGAGCAGGAGCTCACGTGGCAAAGCTCGGGGGCGCACACTGTGCGCCGCTCGGGGTTCACCCTGACGCATGCGTCCTACCTGACCTCCACGCTGTCGCAGGGCCAGACGCTGCGCAAGGGCGTCACCATCGACTGCGCCAGGGATGAGGACGCTGGCCGCACGGGCATGTCGGACGAGATGTGGTGGCTGCACCTCTACGTCATGTTCTCCCGCGCCACGTGCATGCGGAACATGCTGATCCTGCGGCCGCCCGCGCGAGAGTTCCTGGAGCGCGGGCCGCCGGCGTCACTGCGGAAGGCGCTCCAGGAGTTCGACAAGAGACCGGTGGATTCCAGGGCTGAGGCGGAGCAGCTCGCGGCAGAGTTGGGCTTCGTGCTGCCGCCCGCCTAAGCGCCGCGGCGCGCACCTAGAGGCCCGCGGGGTTGTCCCAACGGCTGGCTCCCGCGCCCCTGCGGCCTGTGAGGTTGCCCCACCCGGCCTGGCCCGAAGGGTTGTCCCGACGGCTTCGCGATCTAGCCGTCGGCAAACGCGCGCGTGCTGGCCGACGCGGCGACGGCGCCGAGGAAAATCCGCCGGCCCCCTTGTGGGGCCACCAGGCTGTAGGCGCGGGTTCGCAGTTTCATGTACCAGTTGTAGCTTGTAGTTTCCAGTGTTACAGTTATGCTCATTGCTGGTTACTGTAACTAGTTGACTTCTTGCTGGTTACTGCAACTAGTTGATTGACCGCGCGAGGGGGAGGGAGGCCCAAACAAGACTTTTAGCGTCCCCTGGGCGCGTTGTCTGAATTGCTGGGGGGGCTCGAAATCGACACCCCTCACGCAGATCCGCGGGGTCAGGGTCCAAAAACACAGGGGATTTGCCACATTTCTCAAAATTCGGTGCCACCCCTCACGCAGATCCGCGGGGTCAGGGTCCAAAAACACATGGGATTTGCCACATTTCTGAAATTCGGTGCCACCCCTCACGCAGATCCGCGGGGTCAGGGTCAAAAAACACAGGGGATTTGCCACATTTCTGAAATTCGGTGCCACCCCTCACGCAGATCCGCGGGGTCAGGGGCCAAAAACACATGGGATTTGCCACATTTTTCAAAATTCGGTGCCACCCCTCACGCAGATCCGCGGGGTCAGGGTCCAAAAACACATGGGATTTTCCACATTTCTGAAATTCGGTGCCACCCCTCACGCAGATCCGCGGGTCAGGGTCTAAAAACACAGGGGATTTGCAACATTTCTGAAATTCGGTGCCACCCCTCACGCAGATCCGCGGGGTCAGGGTCCAAAAACACATGGGATTTGCCACATTTCTGAAATTCGGTGCCACCCATCACGCACATCCATCGCAAGGCGTGGTAACCCAAACTGCGAGTACTCCCTCGGCCCTTTAATCCCAAGGTGTGGTAACCAAGCTCGTAAACCATACACGTCTTACCAATCGCCCTGTGTGGTAACCCCTCTTGTGATCAGTTTGTTTTGCCGATTGCGAATCGGCCTCGCATGAAGTTCCGATACTGCTGCACGACAGCGCCAAAGCCTCATGACTTAGCTCTTCCATGGCCCATTCTCCGAGAGGGGGCCGGCGGCAGGGGGCGAAGCCCTTACGGATCGAGTTGCTTGCCACGACCAGGGGGAACGGGAGGTGCACATGGAAAAGAAGCAGGAGGATGAGGAGGGAAGGGGCATGGGGGAGGGCGACGACGAGGAGGAGGTGGCGCGAGAGGAGGAGGAGGAGGAGGAGGAGGAGGAGGAGGAGGAGGAGGAGGAGGAGGAGGAGGAGGAGGAGAAGTAGGAAGAGGAATCTAATGAGGAAGAGAGGGCAGTGCAGAGGGCGAGAGGAGAGGGTGTCCGCCAGGGGGAGGAGGAAAGGGCAAAGGGTAAGCTAAACATATTCTCATGTGGGGTCCTACCGTCGGAGTAATTTGGATACCACTGGGGGATCATGACCTACCCTACTCGACGTAAGTAATGTACGCCAGTGCCCGTGTGCCCATCGACGCCTTCCAGCCCATCGTTCGCATGCGAGGAGAGCTCCTGAGTCTCGACGCAACACTGCAGGGCGCTGCACTGCCCCGCTGCATGGCAAAACCATGGCCATGTAAACGACAACACGAAACGGGTCTTACGCGAGATGGCATCGTGCTCTTACGCGGTGGCTTCCACGGGCAACCAACGCGGCACGCGGGCATTTTACGCGCGAAACTCCGCGAAATCGAGCCCGTGTGTCTCAGGCGCTCATGTGTCACCCGCCGGCTTCTGCCCACGACCGCGACCGATAGATGGCAGAGGCAGAGACAGAAATGACAGCACGGTCGCGGGCACTCTGGCGCAGCGTGGCGCGCAACGCCGAGGACAAGGCGTCTCGATGTAAGGTGGACAGGCAGATACGTGTGAACCGAGGCCCCTAGCGGTCTAAATCTGGGGCCCCCCCATGGTCAAGTGGGAGGCTCGACGATTGCGGGCGCGCTCGTCCATTTCGTCGTCGTCCTCCTCCTCCTCCTCCTCCTCCTGCTCCTCCCTCCTCCCCCCCCTCCTCCTCCCCCCTCCTCCCTCCTCCTCCCCGCCTCTTCCCTCTCGCCCCTCCCGACGAGTGAGGGAGGAGGACAAGGGGGAGGAAGAGAAGGAGGAGGAGCGAGGAGGAGGAGCGATGAGGAGGCGGAGGAGGAGGAGGAGGAGGAGGAGGAGGAAGAGGAGGAGGAGGAGGAGGAGGAGGAGGAGGAGGAGGAGGAGGAGGAGGAGGAGGCGCGAGAAGGAGAAGGAGAAGGAGGAGGAGGAGGAACGAAGAGGAGGAGGATGTGGAGCGAGGAGGAGGGGGAGCGAGGAGCGAGGAGCGAGGAGGAGGAGGAGGAGGAGGACGAGAAGGAGGAGAAGAAAGAGGAGGAGATGGCCTCCCGGGAGGCCCCAAAAGGCGAGCGAAAACGAGGCAAGGGTCGCGGTACAGTAGGGGCCAGTTCACAAGAAACCTTCCACAATAAACCCAACCCTGAGACCCCAGGACGTCCATGGATTTTTGGTGCGGGAACGGCACGCTTTCCATGGCAAAACCATCGAAACCCAAGAAGCCCAGGGCACCCTGGAGGCAAGCAGGGTGTTTCTTGGCATGGGCCTCCGCTGTAGGCATCGATCTGCGCTTGCTCAAGCAAGGTTCCAACACGTGCAAAAGTCCTCGAAGACTGCCAAGAGACTACCAAGAAGGGAAAGTCCTCGAAGACTGCCAAGAGACTACCAAGAAGGGCCTCAGCGTCCGTGACAGCCGAGGAAGTCCACAAGACGGCTCCGAAGGCCCAGGCAGCCCCCTAAGATGGCCCCAAGAGGCCCAAGAACGCTAAGTCGAACTAACCTGCTGAGCCCTTTGTTACAGGAGGGCCCACCCCACACCGCCATCGACGCGCACGAAACTCCCCAAAAGCCCAGAGACGCGCAAAAGACGCCAACCAAAAATACCCAAAGGCCTCACCCGTCAAGTTCGTCCTTCTCTGGGGGTCGGCTGACTGGCGTAAACCTGTTGAATCAATGGGTGGCGGGGGTCGTTGCCTGATTGTTCCACCGACTTGATGCCTCGTTCACCTGCTCCTCCACTCCTTCTGCGCCGCACTGGATCAAAACCAAACGAATGGTCACGCAAGCCGTGCTATCGTAAGAAGCGAAGACACGAGCAAGTGGCAACGCGTGGAAGGTACCAGAAGACCCGAACCCACAGCGCTAAAGTGAGCTCAATGGTTCGCGTGGGTATTCCAATGGCCCCTCTAAGCTTGCTTGCGCTTCCGACGCCGAGATTCACGCTGGGCCACTCGAAGCTTGCCACCACCCCAAGGAGATCATTAAGTCCTCGTGGTCCTGTCCGAGAAGCCATCTAATGGCAAAATCGGCGCCCTCCGTAAATGGTTTGTGTGCCAATCGCATGAGGCTTTTTCACACTAACTTGCTGGAGGCTGGAACATATTCTGTACCAACTGCACAGATGTGGTGCGCTTCAGTTCTCAGAATGGGGCTCTCCCTTGAGGCTTCCTCGACATACATTGCCAGACATGTTGCAAACTCGTGCAGCAACTAGGCGGACGGGGGGCGGTTCCTTTTCACAACGGGGCTCTCGCGGGACACCTGGTTGAACTTTAGCGTCCCTTACCGCTCGCTAAAGGATGCAAGGCAATTTCTGTTCCAACGGGGCTCTCGCCTGCATGGCAGGGCCATCGGGTGCTCGCCTTTCAGGGGTGCATTTCCCATGGCGAAAATGGGACATCTTGTACGGACTCCAGAGCAACTGGGGACGGGGTGGTGGTACGAGCACAAAGCTGGTGCGTCCTGGGTTGCCTCTGGTCCTCCCCTCCTCCCTCCTCACCCTCCGGTGCCCACCTCCCTCCCCTGGATTGCGCGGCCGCGGCGTCACATTCTGAATGTTCCGGAAGCCGTACGCTGCCACAAACAGCATCAGCGGCTCGCCCGTGCTGGGGTCCCTGTAAACCACCTCCGCCACCCCTCTCGCACTGCCCCCGGGGAGCTCCTCTGCCCCCGTCGCCCGGAGCAGGAAGGCACTGCAACGGAGCGCTTTGCGCGGGCAACTGCAGCGTACGCCGAGATTTTGGGAAGCTGGGCCACGCCACCAATCGGCAAGATCCAACTGGGTACGGAAAGAGTGGTGACGAAGACAGGCAGCACTTCCTGCTAATTTTGAACCAGGTTCGCTGTCCATGTCGCCGCGGGCTTAATTTGGGACAGAAGGCCGCCTGCCCAACAGCGGCTGCTGTCGGTTTTGGACAGCATTTGTTGTTCGGCATTCTGCTGCCCCCCATCGTACTTAAGTGCCACATCCCAGAAGTAATTTCGAGCACCCAGAAAAGTATCGAAACACTGCCGAACGAGTATCGCCTCCCAGGGCCCGACACGTGACAACACTCGAGTTTCGGCACTTTTCTTGGTGCTCGAAATTCTCTCTGGTGATCAAGACTACAGTCATCGGCCTGACCTAAGGAACGATAAATAAGGAACGAAGCCCTAACGCATAGGGAACGATACATAAAGCATGCGAGCCTAAGGAGCGACCGAGCCCCTTTTGACTAGCAAGTGTTCCTTATCCAGGCCGCTCACTGTAAAGCAGGTTGGAGCATCCCGGGTCTGGCATCGTACCATCTTTTCCCGCACCTCCCAGTGCCCGACACGTGACAACCCTCGAGCTCTGGCACTTTCTTGGTGCTCGAAATTCTCTCTGGTGATCAAGACTAAAGCAGGTTGGAACATCCCAGGTCTGGCATCGTACCATATTTTCCCGCACCCACGTCGGGCCTCCAAAAAACCAGCCTCACAACGACACGGGCTGGCCGAGGCCAGCTCGAGCCGGCGTCCGCCGCGACGAGCCGTGCGCCGCCTCCTGCCCCAGTCATAGGGAGGCGAAGGAGCGGCGGCGCTCTCCGTGGAAGCACGGCCCGCTGCGCCGCTGCTCGGCTCCCCGTTCCGCGCCTGCGTCTTCCTGTCCTCGCCTCGTCCTCCTCCCGCCAGCCGCCCGGCCGGTCCCTCCCTCCACGCCGAGGGGCAACGTCGACGGGAGGAAGACCCCCAACGTTGCCCCTCCACGCTCCGCCTGCCGTTCCGCCCTCCGCCCCAACATACAAAACAAAACAATGTCATCGTCGCGGAAGGCGAAGTGCGAAAACATGGAGGACGGGGGGGGCGTGCTTTTTTTGTTGCTGGGTCGGAGGCAGCACACGCATCAACCAGCAAGTATCCTGCACGAGCCACCAGAAGGACAACAAAAACACATCGTGAAAATCGCAGGGGGGGCGATTCGCCTCCTGACCCGGGTCACCTCACCCTCACGCGAAGCCGAACCCCTCCTCTGAGGGGCAACGTCGGGGGGGGGATGGGCTCAACTGGGGGATGCATCGACCCCCAATCGCCCATACATCGCCGATGAGGCTCCGATGAGGACCCAGCAGCCCACCCCGCCCAGAAACGCGAGGATTCGTGATCGGGGGGGCCCATCGCCGCGCCATCGGCGCGAAGTATCGCCGATTCCAGGATGATGCCTCCCCCCTGAGCCTATCCCCCCCCCCTCCCCAACGGTGCCCCCGATCGTCCCTGGGCGCGGCCTCTCGCATGTCCTCGTTCTGCTTGGGCCGCAGCTCCAGCGGCGCCAGCGGCAGCCGCGCTCCTGCCCGGGCCGCGCCCCGCGGCCACGGGCGGCTCGCGGAGCAGAGAACGTCGTGGAGGGAGTTTAGTTGAGTTGGGCTCTTCCCGATGCGGTTCACGGCTTCTCCCTGGTGGTGTTCTGAAAGCTGATGCTCTGGCACTCTGTTCTTGCCGTCCAGCAGAGAGAGAGAGAGAGAGAGAAAGAGAGAGAAAGAGAGAGAGAGAGAGAAAGAGAAGTGAGAGACAAGGTTCGAAGGGCTTTAAGATCGCGCGTGCCAGAAGGGTCGAAACGACGGGACCATCCTTTGTCCCATCGGATCGCTTTCCTCCTCTCCCATCCGTCAGGGAGGGAGGAGGAGAATGAGGAGGAGGAGGACGAGGACGAGGAGGAAGAGCAGCCAAGGGCAGTTTCACTTCCAATTTCGACGCATTTGGGCTTATGTCTCAGCGGGCGGAGCTGCGTCTTTGCTATGCGGCCAACCTCACCCGCGAGAAGAAATAGTCAGAGCATCACTCGTGAAGTTTCGCACAGACAACTTTAGGCTCGCGTGTCTAGCGGTCTCCCTGATTCAGGAGCCAATGCTAGGATGGCTTTTTTGTCCACGGGTTATCGCGCTGCACGTGCATGCGTTGGTGGGCCCAAGGCGGGCCGGAAGCAACTCAGCAGCGCGACCCAGATGGAAAGGCACAGTAACTATAGAGACCTCGCCCTGCAACGCACCCCTGGGACCAGCTGAGCAGGAGACAGGGAGGCAGCGAGGGAGGAATGACCGATGGAGGAAAGAGGGCAAGATCAGTCAACGTCGAATCGGGGATTCGGATCGGGTCGGATCGGAACGTATGTCGCATCGGGCTGCATCGGCACGACGTTCGAATTGACTCGGATTGGCCGCACCATGCTGCACAACGACGCCATGCGAGCATCGGGCCGCATCGAACCGCTGGAACATCGGGATCGAATCGGGCCGGGTTGGCCGACATCGACATCGCATTGGGCCGATCGGATCGACATCGACCCTGGGAGGCAGGGAAGGCGTGGGAAGGAGGGGGGTGGGATGAAGGGAGGGAAGGCGCCGGAGGGAAGGGAAGGAGGGAGGCCTCGTTCTGTCTGGGCCGCCGCCGACCCCCCGCGGCCCAGGCGGCGCGCGGGTTCAGAGACCGTCCAAGAGGGAGTAGGATTAGGTCGGGCATGTCCTCCTACAGGCGGACGTTGGAGGGACCATTAAAAAAGAGCCAGCACATATTCAACAACACATCAAGCATGATCAAACATCGCCCCCATACTACTTTCTTTAACATGTTTTGCTTACTCCTCCAGTAGAGGGACACGCCCGACTTACGTGCAGGAGGAGGCGCTTACGGAGGGAGAGGCGCCTGCACATGCTCTCCCCACTCTCCTCTCCGACAGCCTCGCTCCAACAGCGACCGCACTGCTGCGGCGGGCTGCGGGAGAAGCTCGGGGGCGGCCACGAGGGGGGCGTCCAAGGGGGGGGGGGTGGCGCAAATCATGGCCAGCGGCACGTGCGCGGCCCAAGGGGGGGGGCCAGAGACGTAATGAAATAAGCAGAGGCGCCATGAAATGTGAGGAACCATCATGGCCCACGCCATGATATCCCCCCCCCCCCCCCCCCCCCAGTCATCACCCCCCTCTTAGCCGCCCCCGAACTGCGGGAGAAGCGTGACAGACAGATACCCTCCGGGCGGGGGTGAACTCCTCCTCCTCCTCCTCCTCCTCCTCCTCCTCTTCTTCGAAACGTTGGGCCGCCCATCGGACAATGCCGTGGAACTCATCGGGGCATACAAACACAATGTCAACGAGCCGGCCTGGGGCGAGGTACAGTCACCGTGCTACCAGAAGGAACGCCAAGTAAGAAACGACGGGGCTTTTCTAGCCACGGGAAGCATTCGGCCACGAATAGGTTACCCGACTGGATCTGGGAACGGCCCCCAAACCAACGGCTCCTCCTGAAGCGCTGCCCGCCACGTGCGTCGGGGACCTCCGCGAGGTGCAACCGGCTGGATTGCGCCAGGCGTCGCAACTGCCCTGCGTGCCGTGCTTCTCTGCCCACAGGCCAACGTCGTGCGTGCGTATGAGCTGGCTGACGTGCTGAGCTTTTCTGCGGTACTGTACTGGGAGGGCTGCGGCGGCAGCTCACCTGGCAGCTCCAGCGCGGAGGCGGTGCTAAGCATGACAGGTGAGGCCTGGCTGCCGCGTAACCACGGCCAACACACACACACACACCACCACTGCAGCGTCCAACGAACGGGGCCCTCATACAGCGACGCTAACGGTCACGACTGCGACCACCGACCGTGTCGTCGAGACCACCACGGCCCAGAGACGCCCCAAGAGGGTCCCGAGACGGCCCAGGAGCCCCCGAGGACGGCCTGAAAGGCCTTCACGAAGGCACCAGGAGGGGCCCAAGAGATGCCCCCTCTTCCACAGGGATGCCCGCACCATGCCCCCAAGAGCGCGTTTCTTTATTTTCGGCGATGATGGGCATTATAGGGGGGGAGGGGCCAAAGGGTGGTATAATATAACGCCTCCCCCCCGGCCGAGCGCACGGCGGCAGTGCCCGGAGCGCACGGGGGGGGGGGAGGGGCGTTACGTTATAGGGGGAGAGGGGGGGGGGAGGGGGCTCTAATGCCCATTATGCCCCAAGCAACAAAGAACACGCTCTAACCAGCGCTTTCTAATGAACAGTGTGGTGCTGTATCGCGGTGAAGGAGCGAGATGACCGATTACGCAGGCTGCCCTGCAGCAGCCTGGAGGAGGCGGAGGCCTCCCTCCGTGTCTCGCCGCCACTCGCGCGCGACCCCGCCCCCTCCGAGCAGCTCGCTGGCGGCCTCCCTGAAGACGTACTCCAAGTACCCGCCCGACCCCGCGTTGCCGCGCACGTTGCACAACAACGGCTGCGGGCAAAGCTTCTTCCGCTAAGCAATGCCAAGGCTGGGTGGCCGGCCTTGAGAGAGCATGCGTGTTTCGGGCAAGTATGGGCGCGAGCACTCTTGCGAGAGAGTAAAAACACCAAGCGCTCGCACGACGGCTGAGGGCGAGGAGGGGGAGGAGTGGAGATGACCGAACAAATGATGAGAAGAAACCTGAAGGAGGAAATCCGCCGGCCCCCTTGTGGGGCCACCAGGCTGTAGGCGCGGGTTCGCAGTTTCCTGTGTCAGTTGTAGCTTGTAGTTTCCAATGTTACAGTTCTGCTTCTTGCTGGTTACTGTAACTAGTTGATTGACCGCGCGAGGGGGGGGGAGGCCCAAACCAGATATTTAGCACCTCCTGGGCGCGTTGTCTTAATTGCTGGGGGGGCTCGAAATCGACACCCCTCACGCAGATCCGCGGGGTCAGGGTCCAAAAACACAAGGGATTTGCCACATTTCTGAAATTCGGTGCCACCCCTCACGCAGATCCGCGGGGTCAGGGTCCAAAAACACAGGGGGATTTGCCACATTTCTGAAATTCGGTGCCACCCCTCACGCAGATCCGCGGGGTCAGGGTCCAAAAACACATGGGATTTGCCACATTTCTGAAATTCGGTGCCACCCCTCACGCAGATCCGCGGGGTCAGGGTCCAAAAACACAGGGGATTTGCCACATTTCTGAAATTCGGTGCCACCCCTCACGCAGATCCGCGGGGTCAGGGTCCAAAAACACAAGGGATTTGCCACATTTCTGAAATTCGGTGCCACCCCTCACGCAGATCCGCGGGGTCAGGGTCCAAAAACACAGGGGATTTGCCACATTTCTGAAATTCGGCGCCACCCCTCACGCAGATCCGCGGGGTCAGGGTCCAAAAACACAAGGGATTTGCACATTTCTGAAATTCGGTGCCACCCTTCACGCACATCCATCGCAAGGCGTGGTAACCCAAACTGCGAGAACTCCCTCGGCCCTTTAATCGCAAGGTGTGGTAACCAAGCCCGTAAACCATACACGTCTTACCAATCGCCAGGTGTGGTAACCCCTCTTGTGATCAGTTGGTTTTGCTGATTGCGAATCGGCTTCGCATGAAGTTTCGATACTGCTTCACGACAGCGCCAAGGCCTCATGACTCAGCTCTTCCATGGCCCATTCTCCGAGAGAGGGGGCTGGCGGCAGGGGGCGAAGCCCTTACGGATCATCAGGCAACGAGGGGTGTAGGCATGGACCTGGAAACGACGATGCAGCCCCGCCAAGCCTCGGGTGGCTCCTGGGTGCGGAGGGGCCTCCCTGACGCTATCGGCGACGAGTGGGCGATTGTGCTTTTCGGGCTCCCACCAAATTGGCATGTAGGGGGGACACATCGATCTGGAATCGTCAATGCGTCGCCGATAGATCGGCGATAGGCCACCCGATAGTGAGTTCGCACCTTCCTGGGCAGGTTGTGACTATCGGGCCCCCATCGGCGATGTATGAGCGATTGGGGGTCGATGCATCCCCTCTATGCCTATCCCTCCACATTGCAGCCCCTAACATAAGTCGCCTCCTTCTCGCTGCCCCTGCTGCTGCTGCTGCTGCTGCTCCTTCCCCCCTCCTTTGTCTCCCTCCTCCTCCTCCTCCTCCTCCTCCTCCTCCTCCTCCTCCTCCTCCTCCTACTGCTCCTTCCTACTCCTACCTGCTCCTCCTCCCCGCCCTCCCCCGCTCCCTCCGCCCCCCGCTGCTGTCCTCTTTCATCCTCCCTCCCGCTTCTCCCTCCTCCTCCTGCCCCTCCTTCCCGCTCCTCCCTCCCTCCCTCCCCCCTCCGCCTCCCACAACGACGACGACGACGACGCCGCCCTCTGCGCCGCTGCCGACGCCACCAGAGAGAGTCAGCCGACGGCCGCCGCAGAGGCCCCTTGCAGCCGCTGCCCACGGGCCCCTGGAAGGAGGCCACCGACGGCGGTCAGCCCGAAGGCCTTCGAGAGGGCCGCCGCCGCCTCCTCCTCCTCCTCCGCCTCCTCCTCCTCCGCCTCCGCCTCCTCCTCCTCCTCCTCCTGCTCCTCCTCCTTCTCCTCCTCCTCCTCCTCCTCGAGAGGGCCGCCGACTGGCCGCGCGCGATCGCCGCCGCCTGCGCGCGCTCCGCGGACCCCAGGCCGCCCAACAACAGGTCTGTCAGCACCTCCGGCCAGCGCCGCGCCCGCCGAACGCGCCCGCGAAGCGCGCCCGCCGCCAGGGCTGCCACTGCGGCCGCCGCCGCCGTCGAGGAGGATCGGCTGATCGGTCGAGGGCTTGGGGGCTCCCGCGCGACTTTCATGCACCCGTCTCGGCCTCTAGTGGCCACGGGGAGTCCTGCGGAGACCCTCGGAGCTCGCAGCCGCCGTCATCGTCGTCGTCGTCCTGGCGGTGACGTGCCCTCGCAAACTCCCGGCGGCTGTCAAGTCGCCCGCTGCCCAGGCCTCGACTGCATCGAGGCTTCCTGGTCGGGGCGCGCTCGGGGACGGCGACGAGGGCGAGGGCGAGGGCGAAACAACGACGACGATGACGACGAAGACGACGTTGACGACGTTGACGACGACGACGACGACGTTGACGACGACGACAACGACGACGACGACGACGACGACGACGACGACGACGACGACTTCCACGGCGGCGGCGGCGACCTCCAGAGGCCTCTCCGGAGGCTCCTGGCGTCTCCAGGGGTGCCCAGAGGCCCCTGGGCCCCCTCCGACGCACAAGGAGGACCCCCAGAGTCCTGAAGCCTAGCTCCTGTGCCAGTGTCTACAGGAGCAGAGCAAAACACACAAGCATAAACATAAACTTTTGGCGCTCCGCGCGGATTTCTTGGATCCGCGCTGGACCCTCCTCCGTGGGGCGCGGAGAGCGCCAGGGGCGGCGCCGGAGGCGCCGCCAAGGGGCTCTCAGCGCGGATCCGAGAAATCCGCGCGGAGCGCCAAAGTTCATGTTTACGTGTTCTTGTCTGCATCGATCTTAAAACGGCGACGACGAGGACGACAAGAGCGAGTGCAGCGAAGACGCTGACGTTTGTTTTTTTTCTTTTCCGGGCTGTTCCTGAAATCTTGGCCAGGAGGCCTATTCGTGGCCGAGGCTCACCGTGGCCAGAAAACTGAAGTGGCCCAGGGACACACAAATAACTTGACGTAAATAACAGGATTCCAAATCTTTTCCCATGTTTTCGGGGTTTTCGTCCTCCCCCCCACTTCCCATATTTTCCCATCTTTTCCTGGGGGTCGACGATTAATTCTGTCTGTGTGTCTTGACCTCCTGACAAATGCCCCTGCGCTCCTCATTCAGCGCTCACCACGGCAGCGCGATGACTGTCGTTGCAGGGGGGAGGGCGTCCAGCTGCAGGCTGTATTAGAAGGAAAAAACCCACATAAACACAAACTTTTGGCTCTCCGCGCGGATTTCTGGGATTCGCGCTGGACCCCCCTCCCTGGCGCGCGGAGCGCGCTAGGGGCGGCGCCGGAGGCACAGCCGGAGGCCCAAGCGCGGCCCCTGCCTCAAGCGAGGTGCCGTCCAAGTGGGGCCTCTCTCCCTCGCAAAACTACGGCAAAGTCGTATCATGCTGACTTCGGCGTTGGTTTCTGACACTGCGGGGATCGCTCAACCTTGAATGACTGGCCGTTTCCGAACCGTCAGATCGTTCAACATTGACCGACTCTGGGTCGCTGGCGGCGATCAAGGCTAAACGCCAGCGGCGGGGTCGCCACCAATCGACACGACACGAACCTGCCGAATGCGATGGAGGCCTCTGGAGGCTTCCGAGGGCCCCCCGAGGCCTCTCCGAGCGCCCCCAAGGGCTGCGGTACTCCAGTCTCTCCCCGCGGCTTCGTCTGCGAAGCGGCGGCGGGCACCTCGTCGTCGAGGTCGCAGGGCCGCGCCGCAGACAGCGCGCGGGCGGCGTCGCTGGCGTCGCCGTCGAGGACCTGGCGTCGCCGCCGTCGCCACCGACGGCCGTCGCCTGCCTTATTCTCCCTCTCTCCTTACGTTCCTCACTCCCTCTCTCGCGGCCTCCCACACTCGTCCCTTCCCGTCTCCCTCCTCCTCCTCCTCCTCCTCCTCCTCCTCCTCCTCCTCCTCCTCCTCCTCCGCTTCACACTGCTTTCCTCTCTCTCTCTCTCTCTCCCCTCCTTTTTTTTCCCTCTGTCCCTCCATCTTTCTCCCCCTCCTCGTGGTGCGTATTGACCGGCCCGTGACACGCAACAGCAGGCTCCCTCAATATCCATGCAGCCCTGGCAAGGCTGGATAATCAGACCTCCACTCTTAGATGGTGATGTTGATATATGATGTTACACATGCCTATACATACGAATTCCCAATATTTCCAAACATTCCGCAAATGTCAAGCATTGCTTGAAACATGTGAACCAATTCAAGAATTCCACCAGCCCTTGGGGCGTGAGTGGTTTAGCGAGCTCTCTCTGTTCTCAACCCCCCTTCTTCCCCTTCGGGGGAGGGGTTTACCCCTCCCCCTACCCCCTCCCCCTGGACCTGGAGAGGGGGTCCGGCGATCGCTGGGGGGGTCCATTTCGACTCCTCGGAGGGCCAAAAAACGACGACCCTCACGAGGATTCTGGCCCCGACGGGGGGACGGAGATAGGCCCCTCTGCTCTTATTTGAAGCCAGAATCACTGATTTTACTATGGTTTTGGCCCCATCTTGGCGTCCTGAGGGGGCCGCGCTCATCTTCCTTCATAGCAAAATCATTGATTTTACGAAGGTTTTGGGCTCATTTTGTCCTTCTCAGGGCGCAGCTCTCATTTGCGCTTCTGAAGAGGTCGCAAGAGGCCCCAAGATGGCCCCAAGAGGCTCCCAGGAGGCTCCCAAGAGGCCTCCAAGAGGCCCCCCAGAGGCCCCCAAACGGCCCCAAGAGGCCTCCAAGAGGCCCCCAAGAGGCCCCCAAGAGGCCTCAAGAGGCCCCAAAAGGCCCCCAAGAGGCTCCCCAGAGGCCCCCAAGAGGCCCCCAAGAGGCCCCAAGAGGCTCCAAGAGGCCGCCAAGAGGCCCCACGAGGAACCCGAACGACTCACACCAGGACGAAGGGCCCGAACGACTCACACCACGAAGAGCCCGAACGACTGCTACTGCTGCTGCTACTGGTACTGCTACTGCTAGTGCTATTCCTCGTGCTGCTTCTCGTACTACCACTACCACTACTCGTACTACTACTGCTACTACTACTACTACTACTACTACTACTACTACTACTACTACTACTACTACTACTACTTGTACGAGTACTACTACTGGTACTGTTACTGGTACTACGACGATTCCTACTTCTACTACATCTAGAGCTACTACTACTACTACACCTCGAACTTCTCATCTCACCACTCCATCTAATACACCTATACCTGCTACTACTACTATGATTACTACTACTACTACTACTACTACTACTATCACTAAATCTTGCTACTCCTCCTACTACGACGCATACTAATACTACTACTACTAGAACTACTACTACTACTACTACTACTACTACTACTACTTTTACTCCTACTACTACTATTCTTACTACTACTACTACTACAATACAACTACCACTACTACTACCACCACTACTACTCTAGCGCAGCATGCCGACCGTGGTGTGCTTCAGGCGTGTCTCCGCGTGCCCTCGCACATATCCCCTGTGTCTTGTTCCTCCTGCCTATTCTTCTACCCTCCTCCATCTATCTTGTTGAGGGAGCCCGCGAGGAGGAAGAGGAAGAGGGGGCGAAGGCGATGGGGGCCAAGACAGAAGGCGGTCCTCCTCGAGTCCTACACGTAACCGACTCAGACGACTCACACGACGGCGACCTCTCAGACGATGACGGCGGCGGCGACGCCGACGACGACGACGACCATGCTTACGATGACAACGACGACTTCGACGACGACGATTGAATGGACGACGGCGTCGACGATCCAGCGATCTTTCCTGTCCAGTTCTGCAGTGCGCGCGCGGCACAAGTGACTACCCTGCTCAGGCTCGCAGCTCTGAGCTGCACCTGAAAGGCAGGTTCGCCCATCAAGTCGGGCGCGGGCAGCAGGCGGCAGCTTAGGAGGGAGAGGTGGAAGAGGAGCAGAAGGGGGAACTCGCCTCCAAGATCGGTCCTCTCGAACAGATCTGAGGAATCACGGAACTCAGAGTGTGCGCGTCCTGGGCCAGAATGCAGGTGGTGTGAGTAGTTGGGGCCCCTCGCCCTGGCGCGGGTCGTTCGGGCCCCTCCTTGTGTGAGTCTTTCGGGTCCCTCGCCGAACGACTCGCACATCGAGGAGGGGCCCGAACGACTCTGACCAGGAGGGGGGACCTGAACGACTCACACCAGGAGGAGAGCACCGAACGAATCCACTGCACCGTGGTAGCGGCCACATCCACGGATAAAACTGCCAGATCTCCCAGTGTGGCACAGTAGCGATACCACCCATTACTGATGCAGCGGTGCATCACAAGGTACTCCCAGTACTGGACGAGAAGTCGAAAGTGAGCCTGGTAACTCAAATAGCATCCGCTCCCATGGGAATCGAATGGCAGATAGCGTCCATTACCCTGCTGGGGTGGTTCAGTATGGGGAATGGACGGGTATGATGGGATAAGATCGATGTATCGGTCTTTCCAGCACACAGCGAACACTAAGGTAAGTGTCCGGGCAAATAGGGCGCGCGTGCCTTGAGCCAAAGGCAACGGCGCGCGGGCTATGCTCCCGATACTGTAACATCTCCCAAAGAGCTACCCTTAAAGTCGGGAGGGGAGGAGACGGAGAGCATAGCCGCGCAGCCGTTAGGCTCTACAAAGGCCGCGCGCACAACTGTTTGCAAGAAAGAAAACAGTGTGTACAGTCTGGCCTAATACCAGACGGTAAGGCGAGTTTCCTCGCAAGGCATTTCACGCGAATACAAGATAGCCCCTTCGAACGATGAAGGGCTATCCGCTCGGCTAGAGGTAACCCAAACGGGCCATGCCTCACCGAGCAAATAGGTCTTAAGGCAGAGAGCCTGAGTCATATAAAGCCGGCTCGTTGCCAGGCGTGAAATGCAAGGCTCGTTTCCGAGCAACTAGAAGGGCGCCTCTGTAGTAGGCGCCCATGCTGGCAAATTGGACCGCGGGGGCAACAAGGACAGACTAAAATTGATTAGACTTGGGTTTGTTTCTGTCCTCGGGACCCCGAAAGGGAACAAACTGCTTCACGTCGTACTTGAATGACTGAGTGCCTGACATCACTTCCAGAAGCAGCTCCCGATCGATGCTTCCCTTTGTATGCCCGTCTGCGGTCATATCCCTAGTATCACACCACTGCACGTTATGTACTATACCTATATCAACTCACGTATCCAACTCATATGTCCAAGCAGAGCCCGCTCTGTCGGTACCTTAAAATCCTTGCTTGAAAATGATTTATAAACGGACTCAGCGTCTATGGTAAGAGATACTTTGATGGCTAGGCCTCCAACTTCACGCATATCTCGTAGTTGTCGTGGAGCCAGAGCTCCTGCCTTGAGCTCGTGGAGAGTGATGAGCGCAGGGTAACACTCATCGAGGTTATGTGCAGCTGCGAGTGCCTCCGCAGCATAGCTGGACCTCACCTGCAGTCGGTGTGATTTGCATAGTCCGTCACAGAGGTGGACGACGGACTTGCCTTGAGGCGAGTTTCCTCGCCGTAGTACATTAGCCCCGCGTATGCCGCAGCCCTTGGTCTCATCATCCTCCTCCCCGGTGAGCTTCCGATGCCCCGAATCGCTGTGGATGTCAACTTCATTCGTCGGCTTCATCCGAGGGAAGGTGATGCGTTTCGGGCTGCTGATCAGCTTTCGCGTCACAGCATTCAGACGTCTGACTTGCAGGTTGGTGGGCTCTTGGATTTTCTGGAGAGAGACCACGTATGCCATGGGCCAGATTTGAGTAAGAAGGGCATAGGCGAGGGCTCCTCGCAAGCTGACGAACATGTCGGTAATGAGTTTCGTGGCTTTGGCATCGGCCGCCGTTCCTGTAAGTTCTGGGTGTGTGATAGGACGTAGTTGTTTGATATACTCGTCCTGATCCATGATCACATCCCCTTGATCATTCTTAGTGTAGCGAACGGCGCAGTTCGTATATGTGTGTTTGTTGAGCTTGCATTTGCCAAACACCTTTTCGACACGCTGTACATAGTCATCTATATTTTTCTCTAGGCCTGTCATGTTAATATCATCGACATGTTTTGCCGTTAGCAGATCTTGACTGAATTCAAACTCAGGATCATAACTGGTCGGTGCAAGGCCTATAGCTCCTGTGGTCGTACGAAGTTTGAGAGAGAACGCTCTTGGAGCGTCCTTTGTACCCGTTCCTGGTTTGAGGCACCTGAGGCAGTGTCGGCTTTCGTCATAGGATGAGAAGCCGGGTAGTGTACGAAGTACCTGGGCACTTCCCGGTGGAAGGGTGAAGCAGACCATGCGAGTTTCCTCGCCGGTGGCATGGGCAAGTTCCTCATAGGTCAGACCCTTGAGGAACGCCTTGTCGATATCCATGGATGCTAAGATCCATTCTGGATGACATGCCGCCTCACTTGCCAGGAGTCGTTGGGGCTGCCTTCGGGCGGTTCCCGAGAATGTTTCCACGTCGAAAGCCTCAGTATCCATAAATCCACGAATGACAAGTCTGAGACGAATGGTTTTAACGTTCTCGGTACCCACCTTTACAAACTTCCACTTATATACATACCTGGATGTCATGATGTTGGAAGCTTTGGATAAATCATACATCTCAAAGCATCGGTTGTCAATGCAGATTTTGAGTTCAGTGTACAAAGCTTCACTAACCTCTTTTGGATGTGCTGCTATGTCGGCTTTGGTGAGTAGGTCATCTTCTTTAACTACCACAGCACGTTTAGCAGCAGAGGATACATATACCCTCATCGTTGCGACCATATCGGTGTCGAGCTGTGCAAGTTGAGTCTGATCCAACACTACTTTTGACATTTCTGATGTAAAACATA